GAGAGAGAGAGAGAGAGAGAGAGAGAGAGAGAGAGAGAGAGAGAGAGAGAGAGAGAGAGAGAGAGAGAGAGGCCGAAATGCGTTCAAGGACCGGATTCCACGAAGACTGGGAGGGAGAGAAGGATGGAAGACCAAGAGTGTGGGACGACAAGAGTGCTTGGCGACGTCGCGAGATGTCTCTGTGGGCAAGTCATAGCAAACCAAATCCGTCGGCGTGTTGCCATAATGGTGAACCAAAGGCTAAACGCACACCAAGGCGACAAACCATACATTCGTGCGACGACCAGAATGACCAGAAGGAGCCGAGGAGGGACGCATTCATTGTACATAGACGCGAGGGATATGAATCAAGTCAACTCAACTCAACTCGTGCATCTTCCATGAATCGTGAAGCACAAGCTGTCTGCACTGATCTAGCAAGTTCGAACTGACGGGGCATAAAACCAATTTAATTTACCAATTAAAGCAAAAGCACCACTCGTAATAGGCCGAAAACTCTATGGCGCTACGGCACAGACAGTGTCAGACACTACAGGCGGACGACCTTCCTCTTGCGGGGCGGCGTGCTACCTACTACCTAGGACATCACCATGGTGCCATGGTGGTCACCTTGGGCCCCTTCCCAAGTGCTTGTCTGAACACTACCCTGAGCCACGCGGGCTGTCCTGCCACCTTGTCATGTAGTGTTTCTACACCTCCGTTATTTATTGCACATTTGTTAGCTAGGTATTTTATTTCTTTTATATATGTATATATTGTTTTCAAGGGTAGGGGGCAACATGCATCCCCTTTATTGTGAGAAGTAGCTATGCTATGCTTGCAGGGGTACCCCGTATAGGCTTAGGAGTAGTGGTAGGGGTCGATAGTGAAAGGTGAAATTGAGAGAGGAATATAGCTTAGTTAATAGATCGATTCGATGGGCAGACTGCCTTGTACAGATTTGCAGCATTGCTGTAGAATTGCTTTGTTGTCAAGGGCACTGTTTAGAATTGTTCGTCTGATTGCGTCTAGATTCGAACCTGGGTCCTTGTTTCAACAGCTCCATTGGTTGTACCAACTGAGCTGGTATAGGCCCATCTCGGTGCCACAACAGTGTGTGTTCGCCCCAACATTAGAACAACAAAATCGAATAAAAGAGCAATGCCAATGCCTCCTCGTTCATTAGAAGCAGGGCCTGGCCCACTACAGAAAATTCTACATGCATTTGGACGCTTTCAAATCGTTGGACTCGTCCGAATGCACCTGGTCCAGAAAGCGTGCAGATGCATGCATAATATTGAGTACTGGAGCCACGAGCGGATAAGAAAAAATGACGAAGAGTACCTAGACTAGTGGTGATGCATCATCTCGTTGCATCGATAGGGTACAACAGAAGGAGAAGATTTAGAGCATTGTGAGGTTCGTCATGCCATCATCATTCGTCAGTTGCGTGTGGAGGGGAGGGGGGGTAGGGGTGAAGGAGGTAGGGGTAGCCCTGTCTCT